GTTTGAGAGAGGCGGGGCATAGAGGACCTACAATAATGTACAGTATTTGAAAAATAATGTGTTTTTTGAACATTAAAGCATGTCAACATATTCTGTTACACCAAATACACAAAATAATGATCTTTAAAATAGCATCATATGACCCCTTTGAATGTGCTGAAATAAATCCCGGAAAAGATCGATTCGCGGCTTTTGAGAATCGATATCGAATCGATGTCATTTAAAAAAAACGATTAATCGAAAAATCGATATTTTTTTTTTTTGCCCAGCCCTAATATATATATACTGATATTGGCACTAATATTTCACGACTTTTAGTAAAGTGACAAACTCAAACCTTGAGGTACTTGAGGCAGCAGGTGAAGTCCAGGATGTGTCCCAGGTCGGCTTTGGCATCTCTGTTGGCACAGGTTGGCTTGGCGAGTTTTAGCTGCTGTGTGACGGCGTACAACTGGAGCGGCCTGAGGAGAAACACCTTGCCTGCAGCCAACAACTGCTCACCTAGAGGAAAAGACAAAACTACTACATTTTAGAGACCTTAATGTCATACAAAACTGATTTTTTTACAGAAATAGAAATACGCAGAAGTAACTGAATGAGGATGTATTGAACTGATTAAAAGTGAAAGTAAAGACATTTATAATAATATTTCTATTTCAAATAAACTCATAATTTTTTTGCACTTTCTGTTCATTAAAGAATCCTGTTAATAAATGTAATGATGCATTTTAAGCCATTTTCAACACTGATAATCATAAATGTTTCTTGAGCAGCAAATCAGCATATTAGAGTGATTTTACTAGTTTTACTGAATTTTTGATCAAATAGATGCAGCCGTTGTTAGATTTCTTAAAAAATCTTACCAACCTCAAACTTAGTGTAGTGTAGTGTAAAACTGCTCATATTATGTATTATGCAAATTAGAACGCTAAATAAAAATGATGAACATGTCAATATTTCAACATGACGACTGTAGAAAATGCATCTAAGGTTATTTTATAATCGGTTTGGATCATTTTTTTTTAATAACATATCACTGTGAGTCCAATATGAATAACACAATTTTTAAAAGGTATCAGACTGCAGTTATGAACCTTTTCTACATTAAACTATTTGATGCCTGATTTCCCTTTAAGCATGCTAAAGTCTCATTTGGAGCATTATTATAATAGCGTAGATTTATAATACTGCCCATTTCATTGTTTTTCAGCCAATGCATGAAATGTTTCAAGCATATAACAACTCTAGGAATTAATAACAACAGACCCTTATGAAAGAGCTCTTCAGCCAGGGCAGCAGCAATTCCACTGATTTCCTGAAAATAATGAAGTTCAAGTCAAAGATGGAAACTCTCACAACAAACCTTATTCAACTATTACATTTGCTCATTTTAAACGTCCACAAATTATAACCAGTGGCCTTGTTCATTGACTAAACTGCAAAAACAGCAACGTCATTGGAATGAGTTTAATGATCTGCATGTGCTTCGTCAACTCATTTCCTGAAAGATTGTACCAGGGGAATGCAGAAATGACTCGGATTTCCCCATGACATCCCGTTTAAAGGAACTTCTCACCCAAAAAATGAAAATTTACTGAAAATGTACACACCCTCAGGCCATCCAAGATGTAGACAAGTTTATTTCCACATCAGAACAAATTTGGAGAAATGGATCCTCTGCAGTGTATGGGTGCCGTCAGAATTAGAGTCCAAACAGCTGATAAAAACATCACAATAATCCACACAACATATTTGTTTAGAACTGTTTTGGCTTGTAAACGGTGCTTGATCTCTGCATATTTCTCTCCCGATTCAAACGAGAATACGTTTTCACTGGATAAAGCAATATTATGGATAGAGGCCAGAAGAAATGGTTTTAAGTTAAAAATCTCTTAATGATGGATTTGTTTCTTACATTCACCCCCGCTTTTCTCTTCACAAGATGTTAATTGATGCACTGGAGTGGTGTGGATTACTTGTGTATTATTTGGATGTTTTTATCAGCTGTCATTCTGACGGCACCCATTCACTGCAGAGGATCCATTGGTGAGCTACTGATGTAATGCTAGATTTGCCAAGGAAGAAACAAACTCATCTACATCTTGACATTTTCTGCCAATCTTTATTTTTGGTTGAACTACTCCTGGTGCTTCTTCAACTCATTTCCTGAAAGATCTCACCAGAAATGCAGAAATAACTCTGATTTCCTCATGATATCCTGTTTTTCATTCTACATATTTTGAGTAAATGAGTTCTAATGCATGTTGATGTGCACAAATTCAACAAAAAAACTAAGCCAATTAAGGACAAATGCATAAACATAAACCCCTTCAGCTCTCCAAAACAACTAAGTCCGGTCATATGCCTATTCTAGACAAAAGTCTTTTAGAGATCAATATCAATAACTCTACTGTCAGTGCGAAAACATCGCTTACGGCCAGATAACAGGCCCTACTGTTCCTAGAACCATTTATACGGCTGAGATAAGAAAATGCAGTGCAACACGATTCATCTTCACAGGATGAAAGCAACAGAGCAAGAGTTGCATGCAATTGCTTTGGATGGATTACACACAAACCCCGGTTAACATTTAACCATCATGTGACCGATATAAAGCAGAGGAATCTTCTGTTTACAATCTTCAGCTTCTTATCAAACACAAAGCACATTAAAACTTACATATAAGTGAAAGAGTAAGAAGTTAGACAGGACTTTGGGGGTCGATGCAGGGAATCTGCTCAGGAGCGTTTGGAGATAAACCTCCAGCTCCTTTTGTCGCTTCTCTACGAGGCTTTTGGAATTTTTGCCGATGATCTTCTTGGGCGGCAACAGATGCTTATCGATCTTCTTCTCCACAGTGAGCTGCAGTCAACAACATTTCATCAGTTTTATCAGTCACTCGCTCTGAACTACGAACCAAATGTTAATATCTGTGGTCTGATCTGTTCCTTTAGGTGACGTAACTCACTTTTTCATGTAAATCGTGAAAGTCGCTGTATCGATGCTTCACAGTCCAACTGTGATCTCCAACATACACCTCTATGATGTAAACCTGAAAAATATATTTTTGTTATATTTCTTTTTCATAATCAATATGGATTTATTCACTAATATTGCTCATAAATGGGTAATCTCTGCAAACCAACAAACACCTCTCCACTTTGTCATACAATTCATAACAATATAACTCACATTGTGCATTATGCAAATAAGCATGCAAATAATTAAAGTGGCCTCTGACACTGTATTAACCGCTATTATTATGATTAATTATTAACAGTTAAACACGGGATTCCTTTAAACATTGATACATAATTCCCAAATTTATTTTATTATTAACAAACATTCGCTCTTATGCAACACACATGCTTTATTAAAACGTCTATTTTATCTTAAAGGTTACACAACTGATCTATTAATCAACCAAATATATTTTTAACCACCAAAACTAACAATATAAATCATTTTCATGTATTTATTCAAAAACTGGTATCATGAACAAGAATATGCACAGAACGCGCGACCCAAACGAACCACATCAAACTGACCGTGTAACTCTCCACCAGCTCGGATCCGACGATACGGACGCGTTTCTCCGCGCACGGCTCCGGTAGATGCCGCGCGTCCATCTTCACTTCAGCGAGAGTTTGAGCGCGTCGCCATGAAAAATGCAAACCTAGCTGTCATGTAGCGCCTCCATCTTTGTTGTGGTTTAACGGGAGCGAAGCGCTGCCGTATTTCTCACGCACCGCGGCGCTCAAACTCAAAGAGAGCTTTATCGCCCCCTACCGCGTGCGGATGTTACTACTCAATGTTTTCAATTCAAAGTCAAAATTGCTTTATTGGCATGACTGTAAGAAAAATTACAATATTGCCAAAGCTTGGAATATAAGTGCAGAAATTTAATAATAACAATGAAAAGATCAAAATAATAGAAGAAAACATTATAACAATTTAAACTTAAATAAACAAATTTGAATATGTGAACATTTCATGCCACAGTGTTTTAATATGTAAACACACACAGGCTGAGGGTCACTGGTAGACTGTAGGGAAACACACTGAGGACAGACATAATACAGAACTTAAATTATAGACATCAACACTATCACTCCAGTGATCTAAATTAGGGTGAATTCAGTGAGATTACCCAAATTACTTTATGAAGTACACACTGATATTTCATGTAATGGTCTAATCGTTTATATATATAATATACATATACAGGTGCATCTCAACAAAATTAGAATATCGTTAAAAAGTTGTTGTTTTTTTGTAACTTATTTCAAAAAGTGAAACTTTCATATATTCTAGATTCATTACATGTACAGTAAAACATTTCAAAAGTTTTTTTTTTTTTTTGATGGTTAGAGCTTACAGCTCATGAAAGTCAAAAATCCAGTATCTCAAAATATTATAATATTTACATTTGAGTTTCATTAAATGACCATCCCTACAGTATAAATTCCGGATATCTCTTGTTCTTTGAAACCACAATAATGGGGAAGACTGCTGACTTGGCAATGC